CTATCCAGTCATCTGGATTGGAAAAGAACATGGACTAAGATCGGGACAATTCGAGGCTACGCCGAGTTTAGGGATAGACCAGAACCCCAGAAATGTGTCAATGCTGCAGCCATCCACCAGGGTCCCTCGAGTGGTTGAGAAGAGTGCAATATATGGGGTAAAAGCCACGGGGTCTCTACTTCTGTGGTTGACTTCCATACATTCATTCACACCCTTTCGCACGGCAAGTTCTGGTTTCAGCATTTCGAATCTCCCTCAGACGAACCAACAATGGGTCCCACTCTCAGCAACAGAGACAGTAATGAGCAGCAGCCGTCGAAGCCTAAACGAAAATATTCACCTCAAGCCTGTGTGGAATGCCAGCGTCGCAAGCGGAAATGCTCAGGAGGCAGATTTTGTGACAGCTGTCGATTCTCGGACCTGGAGTGTGTGTATTCACAATCGCGATCGTCCAAACGACGGGCACTACTGCAACAGTCTCCCGTTCATGGCATTGAGACGTCGTCCAACGAGTCTCGTTCTGCTCCAAATCGCTCTGCGGGCGAGAACATGACCCTGCCTACATGGCCGGCGGTGTCACCACTCTTCCACGACGACTCGACGCTCCACAAGTTGAGGCAGGACTTTGAGGGGTTGAGGAATGAGGTCGCTCGACTGAGATCACAGCCTCAAAGCACTTCAAATCGTGTACCTCTCTCACCAACAGCACCAGCTACAGATACAGCATTATCATCGGCAGAATCACTGCTGGCAGACAAAGCCCCAATCGTTGTAGAGATCCCGACCACTATCCCACTTGTCTCAACTCCCTGTCCTCCTCAATCTACAGCTAGCGACCGTCACACGGACACGAGACGGGCAGACATTCTGCAAAAATCCATCTCAACCGATATTGGAGCGGGAACTTCTTTCTTCCGCCAGCTTGATCTTCTCGACAATTCTGTAAACGGCAGCGATGTCCCGCACGAGGAAGCCCCGTCCTCGTCCGCCAACGAGACAGAAGGCCAGGATGCCGACCCCGAGGTTCTCTCGAGTGGTTTGTGGCGTGAGGCCGAACGTGTGGTGGAGGAAACTCGAGCCCAGGATTTTGACAACATCTGCCGCAGCGTCGACATTTTCTTCCGGCATCTCCGGCCTCATTGGCCCTTTATCAACGAGGCCAATTTTCGCACGCGACTTGCAGCCCTGTGGGCCAATGATAACGTCCACCTCAAGGGGACCATGATGGTGAATTTCGCGGCCCTGTTGAATTTCGTGGTCGCAGCCACCCAGCTCCTGTACGATTCAAGCGAGAGAACTACCGACGTACCGGGATGGACGTACTTCTTCCGTGGGGACAGATTGTTGACCTACGCGACGTGGCTGGAAAAGTCCAATACCACGACCCTGCAGATACTCCTAGTCAAGATCCTGTACTGCTTCTTTGCTGGGCACTTTGACGCAGCCTATGCGTCCGTCGGCGTCGCAGGGCAGCTATGTGTGCAGCTGGGTCTACACAACGAGCCTTCTTGGGGCCCCCACTGCACGTTCTACGCTAGAGCCTACCGCCAGCGCTTGTTCTGGTCACTTGTCTGTCTCAGTCCCATCATTTCGCAGCATGCGGGATGCCCGGACCCTTTGCGTGACCTGGACATTCAAGTCGAATACCCTCTGTGCGTGGACGATAGGATGCTCTATCCAGACTGTCTCCCGTTGCAGGAACTACCCCGAGCGTCTCCCGTGCCATATCTGCTTGAAGTCATCAAGTGGGCGAGGCTCTCTTCCGAGGCTTGGGATACCGTACTCGGTCCGGGCGCCAAAACTCCCTTCGACGCACAGGCTATCACGTCGATCGACAACAAGGTCAAGGCTCTGTCGGCAGAGGCTCCACAATTCCTACAGTGGACCTGGATTACCACCTCTCAAGACAAGGATCACATCCCTTCCTTCCGCTGGCACCAAGCCCTAATCATGTACCTGCGTGAACGCTCTCTGCGGATCCTCCTGCGACGAAACGACATGCTCAATGGGCGTTTCGACGCGCACACGGCACAGACGTGTATCGAAATCGCGGTCGACGTGGTGAGTGCGCTGGAACTGTCGCTCAACTCGTCCTTCTCCAAGAGAACGGCGCCGTATACTTCGGTGCTCCATCTCACAGGCGCCATTGTCCCGATGATATGCATCATCATCCGGCCCGACATTGACGAGGCCCTTGCCCGACCAGCGATCGACGTGTTCAAACGGTCGCTCAGCATCATCAGAGAATACGCGCCGGCACAGTCCTTTGCGCGGCTGACCCTAAAGCATCTCAACCGTCCCATCCGCGCCGCCTCACAGACGATCAGATCCCGCTGGCCGCAACATGCGGACGCGTGCGTCTTGACGCCAGAGACCATCACCGAGATGGGATCGACGACGGCGATGACGACCGAAGAGGGGGCCTCGAATGGTCTGTCCCATCTTCATCACCAGAACCAGAACCACCAGTTGTCGTCGTGGGGTATGCTGGGACAAATGATGGTGTTCCCTAAGCCCGCGACGGCGACTATTAATATGGATCCCGGCCTGCCGCTGATGGCAGAGGAATTTATGGTCGGGGACGAATATTTCACCACCACCAATCAAGATCCGTTTGGAGGCTGGCATGCAGGGCACATGGTGCTGTGAATTTCTTGGTCGGCTGACTTGTGACAGAGCCTGCGTGGTACCACATGGCGTTTGTTCATTTGACTCGGATTGCTCGGATAATAAGCCTGAAGGAGAGTTCGTGCAAGTACGGCTGCGCGCTCCACTACCCAGGCATTCCAGGATAAGTGAAGGTCTCGCCTTGCATGTTTAGAAGTACATTCTGTGCAAGGTCGTTGACAGTCCAACCCCTCATGGGACGGTGTATGGATCAGGGTGAAACGGTAATTTTTTTGCTTTGATATAGCTAACAATTGTCCCACTATCACGAAAAATCCTAATCAACAAACGAACGATGTTCCCATTTTTCAAAGAGTAGAGTTCTGATTATTTGCGGTACCCCCCAAAAACGTCATGGTCTCGCAGATGCTGTGCCTAGCCTCGACGCGCTGGGAAACGAAATATATCCCATGTCAAGCAACCTGCTGAACCTCGGAGGTGGAGAGCAAGACGCCCGTCTTCTCAGCCGCCTGAGGTCTCTCCTGATTCTGGCCCTTTTCGTGAGCCAAAGGATCCTTGGGCATCTTGACGTGCCACCACTTTCCGGGCTCGTTCTCGCCCCAGGCGAACTCGCCGTCGTCAAAGGTGTTTGTGCGGCGCATGTCCCGGCGGTACTTGTGGAGATAGGCCGAGTCGTCGAGGGCCCTGTGCCACACGGCGGTGTTGTCCCACATGACCAGGTCGCCCGGCTGCTCCCACAGGACCTTGTAGACGAAGCGCGGCTGGGTGCCGTGGGCGATCAGCTCGTCGGCGATCCTCTTCGACTCTTCCACCGAGTACCCGTCCAGCTTGTACGCGTAGCTCGTGAGGTAGAGGTTCTTCCGCCCGCTTCCCGGGTGCGGGTACACCGCTTTCCACCGCGATATCGAGTACTCGAAGGGGTCGACGCCCTTGTAGAGGTCCGGGGCGGCCTCGCGTCGGTTGTACAGCAGTGAGCAGTCGCAGACGACGTCCTCGAGGCGGGCTTTCCACTCGGGCGACAGGGCCTCGTAGGCGGACCGCGAGTCGGCGAACTCGGTCTCCCCGCCACAGCCTTTCGGGGGGATCTCCACCGCCCGCAGGAGACTGTACTTGTCCCGCCGCGGGTGGTAGGTCATGTCCGTGTGCCATAGCTGGTTGCCCTTGTTCATCAGGGACGACACGCGGTCCGTCTCGCGGATGATGTTGCCCTGGCCATCGAGGTTGGACACGTCGAAGATGTGAGGCTGGTCCGGGAACCGGCGGTCGCGGAGGTTGGGCATGGAATCCAGCTCGCCGAAGCGCCGCATGAAGTTGACCTGCGTGTCGTTGTCGATGTTGGCGGCGCGAAACACCAACACGCCGTACTTGTCGATGCCGGCCTGGATCTCGTCGATGACGGCGTCCGGGATCGGTTTCGTCCAGTCGACCCCGTGGACCTGCGCCACGAAGGTCGCGTGCAGTGGCTCAAACCGTAGCGTGCCGCCTCCGCCAGCTGAACCCATGATGATCTTGTCTGTGAGAGAGGGGGAGAGGTGTACACACACAGTCGGCGTACAACTTGCGAGAGAGAAGACCAGGCAAGGACGAATTCCGTGGAATCACCTGAACAGTTTATGTCTTTTTTTCAGAGCCTTGGCCCTTATGTATTGCAAGGTCTGGGGATCTCGATTCGTGGATTGCGTCCCCCTTCAGGTGGTTTGAGTGAGGGAGTCCCTTGCGGGGATTGTTGGTGGAGGTTCTAATCCCAACGACGACTTCCGGCGGCACTTCTTCCTCCTTGCTTCGCTCGTCCTCATGTAATGGTGATTGCCGTCTTGTCCCTGTCCCTGTATCCCTCGCATCCGTATCACTCGGTCGTGGACTAGTGGGGTTTGGCCGTCTCCTCCGCATTTTCCTTTGCTGCGTCGGATCTTCCGCATTCCTCTGTCAAAGTCTTGCAGCTCCATCTCAGCACGACGGGACTGTTATTTGCCGCTCTTGAGTGAAAGGTGTCGTCCCTCATCTTCCCACTGGCATGTTTTCTTTGACTTGCGCTGCTGGTTGCTCGGAGGAGAGAAGCGGAATGTGTCTTCTCTCTCCATCCCGAATTCCGCCCAACATCCCGCCGTGCCGCCTTAGCGTCGAGCCAAATCATGGACCGGGGAATATGTGGATCCGCCTCAGGATGGATTGAGATGGGCTGAGATGGGCTAGATGTGCATGTCAACCACGTCAATCCCCGCGTTTTGCTTTGAACGAGAGAGCAAGAGCCTTCTTGCCCTAGCACATCGAAAGGGCTTGGTGGGCTTACCGAACCTTCATCTATCAGCTGGGATAGTCTAGACCTGTCGTCCACCGCGTTCATCCCTGCAACACGAATACGATTAGACAGGATGACTGTCTTCGACCCAGATTCAGACAGCTTGCCTAAGCTCTCCGAGCTCGAGACGAAGCCTGGTGCTCCTCCCCAGTCGGCATGGTTCTGGGGCGAGAACGACGAGGTAGGGACATACAAAGAAGTCATCTTTGGCGGTTCGGCAGATTCTCACCTCTGCGCTGATGTAGCTCGGGCGTCTCAACTTGCTCACTCCAAGACGGGTGGCGAGCGCGGCCAGGTTGATCCAGACAGGAGAAAGGGTCGGACTGAAGTAAGCGCTTTCTGAAGAACGACCCTACGGTTTGGTCAGATTGGGTCCTCATATACAAATCTACAGTTTCCCAGCAGAACTGCCCAACCCTCCCTTCTTCGGTCGGGAGCCTTTCAAGCACAAACTCAAACAGAGCGTCGAATATGGCTTTGATGACCTCCACGACATGAACACCCAGAGTGGCTCGCAGTGGGACGGATTTCGACATGTACGTTTGAGACCTCGTATACCAGGGGTTCTCGGGATTTTTGTGACTATGGGTGCTTACACTTTTGACCAGGTCGGTATGGCGCACGAAGGGTCTTATGTGTGGTATAATGGGGTACGTACAGTTTACGGTGGTTATCTTTGTTCGAGTGGGATAGACTGAATCGCGATCAGATCACGGCCGACGACATTCACAAAACCAGCAAAATGGGATTGCAGGCATGGGCGAAACAGTGCATAGGTGGGTGGGAGACGTCTGACAGCTCTCTTCTCTCCCGCCGCTCGCTCCCCGTTCGAGGTCCGCCACCGTGCTTGTTGTGAAGATGTCTAACATCCGGTTGAAATCTAGCTGGACGGGGAGTGCTCCTTGACTTTTACTCTTTCGCCGGCAAATCCTACGATCCCTTCACCACTAGGGACATCACCACACAGGAACTCCTGGACTGCGCGCGAGCTCAGAACCTGACGTTCAAGTATGGCGACATCCTGATCATTCGGAGCGGCTGGTCCGAAGCATATCGCAAGCTCGACGAGGCCGGACGACAAGCCATCGGCTCCAAGGGCTGGGACGACCTGCGCTTTGCCGGCCTCGACCGCAGTCCCGAGACCCTCGCGTTTCTGCACGACAACTACTTCGCGGCGGTCGCGGGGGACGCGCCGTCGTTCGAGTCGTGGCCCATGAACGGCAAGACGGACCTGCACTACTTCCTGCTTCCACGCTGGGGCGTGCCCATCGGGGAGCTGTGGGACTTGGACGGCCTGGCGGAGCTGTGTAAGAAACACAACCGATACGAGTTTTTCTTCACCAGCAGCCCGTGTAATGTGCAAGGTATGTTGGACACGCATCCTGCCAGCAGATACTTTTGAGTAGTGGCTGACTTTTGTTCTGGGGTGAAGGGGGAGTCGGCTCTGCTCCCAATGCCATTGCGATATTCTGATGTGAGAGCTATGCAAGGCGTGGTCAAGCCCTCTTCGAATGATCTATATAGTGGTACAAGAGAAGGTTTATTCTCACCAACTCTATCGAAGCTCCTTCTACTCATCCATTACATGCTCAATCCATCATCTAGCTTACATACATACATATATGTAGATACTCTCGAGAGATTAGGAGAGGACACTTGACTTCCCCAACATGATAATCCTCTTTACTGTCCACCCATGAATTTTGAAAGCGACCGGAATCAGCCACCTATGAAGAAGGGGCTAATGTAAATCGTATTCAAACGTCCTCCGTAACAACGCCCATGCCCAGTGGCAGTTCCGCAGATGCGCCAGCCGTCTTTTCCGCATGAAAGCCGACCAGGGGCATTTCAACGGAGGAGGAATAAGGCATTGGATGGACTGACTAGTGACACGACAAGACTGATAGATAGTTCTTGCCTTGATATCCTGGTGTCCTAGCATGTGATACATGTGATCTCACTTGTTCATTTGTGGCACGTTCTAGTAGGCCTCGAGCGGTAGGGCACCTGTCTTTTTTCACCAGAGAACCGACCTGAGGAGCATTCGTGTCCTGGATACGTATCCCAAACAAAGCCACCAAGGTTGAGAGTTACGTTGGGGGAGTACAGACACCAAGTTACCACCGGGCCACCAGCAACCATGCTCCCACTAAAAGGAAAGCTGGCCATTGTGACGGGCGGTTCTCGAGGTGAGTTCGTTCGTTACCTCTCAAACTTGTGAGCGAGAGATATTCTTCCGGCTTGATAGTCGAGGAAACAAACAGTTTTCATAGGCTCTCCCTCTTATTGACGAATTCCAGGCATCGGTGCCGCCATTGTCAGAAGTCTGGCAAAACGCGGCGCAAACATCTGCTTCAACTACACGTCCGAGTCGTCGGTTTCCAAGAGCGAGAAACTGATACAGCAAATGCGGAACGAACACAACATCGACATCATCAGCGTCAAGGCCGATCTGGCCGAGAAGGACGGGCCGGCAAAGGTCGTCGAGGCCGCGGGGCGGTATTTTGCAAACAAACCGACTTCTAATAGAGGTGGTGGTGGTGGTGATGGTTGTTCACTCCGCGTGGACATTGTCGTCAACAACGCCGGCGTGTGTCCCGCGCTGTTACTCCCGGACTGCACGGTCGACGAGTTCGAGTACACGTACAAGGTCAACGTGCTGGCTCCCCTGCTCCTCATGCAGGCCGCGCTGCCGTACCTCCCGCACGACCGGTCCGGGCGGATCATTAACATCTCGTCCATCTCGGCCAACGTCGGCACGCCGGGCCAGACCATCTACGGGGGCAGCAAGGCGGCGCTCGACGCCATGACGCGGACCTGGTCGCGCGAACTGGCCGAGCGCGCGACCGTCGTGTCCATCCACGCGGGCGCCGTGCTTACGGACATGGTCCCCGCGCCGTTCGTGGCGGACGTCGTCGCCCACCATAATCGCATCACTCCTCTCGCACGAGCCCGCGAGGGTATCGACACCCCGGCGATGATGGCCGCGGCCAAGGGGATTGGTGGGCGTGTCGCATATGACCACGACATCGCCGAGGCTGTGGCGCATTTCACGTTGCCCGAGGTGGGTTGGGTTACCGGCCACGTTATCGGTGTCGATGGCGGGTATGATTTTATTCGGTGATCTTGAATGCGTGGGTCGAGAGGAGCTGGGAGGGCACATAGGAGGTTTTGAGAGAACAAAGTGGGATAAGATGGTGGTGGTTGGCGATATAGATGCCAGATCCTGGTCAACGGGTCAACAAGTCAACAAGTCAAGACCGAGCTTCGTTAGGGGAATCTCATGTCTATGAGTGATGTCGAGTCATTCTTGTGCCTGTCAGAGGAGAAGTTTGTCGGTCAAATAAATCACCTTGGGGCTTGTTGTAATATTCCAGCTCATATGGGCATGTTTCGGCAAGACCAAGAAGCGTAGGGCGGGACCAAGGATGTTACAATCCAGCACAAGACATGAGGGACTATACCTGTATCTGGATTCTGAGTATCCATACGCGCCACATCTCGGCGCGATCCGGGTCATCGGTGATCTACACAACTTCTGTCTTTTTGGAGTGAGTGAGTGGACTGCAGTACTTAGTCCCAGCGTTGATCCGGAACCAGCAGGAGAACTTGGAGTGAGATTCCGCCAGGACAGCGTCACGGGTTGCCGCCTCAGGTTTAGTCTTTCCCCGCTGCAGATCCGCGGCAGTATCTTGTCAATCAGTCAATCAGTCACTCATTTACTCATTTACTCACGTAGTGATACCTTAACTCCTTATGATCAAGTGGAATGCCTATAAGTCAGGAGCCAGGATAGAAACCAGTGTCTAGTCGAGGGATCTCAAGGACTTTGACCTCTCGCATCTTCATCAGCCAGCCAGCAAGCCAGCAAGCCAGCCCCTTCCCCAACTCCAACCCACCTTTTCTTAACATACAAGACAATGTCGAAGCATGAATTCACCGCCCTCGTCACCGGCGGCGCATCCGGCATCGGCGAAGCCACCGCGCGCAAACTCGCCAGTCGCGGCATCTCAGTCCTCATCGGCGACATGAACTGCGCGCGGGGCGAGAAAGTCGCCGCCGAGATTCGAGAACTGTACGGCGTGCGCGCGGCTTTTTACCCCTTGGACGTGACCGACGAGGCCAACGTCAAGGCCTTTGTCGAGCACGCCACGCAGTGGACAGGCCGGCTGGACTTTGCGGCCAACTGTGCTGGGATCTGCGAGAATGTGTGGGATGGCGAGGAGAGCATCACGGCGGAGCTTTTTGACCAGTTTCGTTGCCCCCCCCCCCCCGGCCCCCTTTCCCAGATTTTCTCCGTGTTGGACTAACCGCTTGACAGAACTCATGCCGTCAACGCCAAAGGCGTCTGGCTCTGTCAGAAATACGAGGCGGCGCAAATGCTCCGGCAAGAGCCCCGTCCCATCGTCTTCTCCCCGCCACCACCACCCTCCCATGTGATACCCGGCCAGCGCGGATCCATCGCCAACGTCGCCTCCGTGTCGGGACTCCACGCCAACGGCCTCGCCGCCTACACGCCCAGCAAGTACGCCGTCGTGGCCGTGACCAAGAACGGCGCCAAGTTCTACGGCCCCAGCGGCGTACGCTGCAACGCCGTCTGCCCTGGGTACGTGATGACGCCCATGACCGAGTACAGCATGGGTGAGGCGGCGAAGCCCGGGACAAAGGAGAACGAGGCCGCGGCGACGAGGCTCCAGGTCGCCATGGGCAGGATGGCGTTCCCCCAGGAGCAGGCGAATCTGCTGTCGTTCTTGTTGAGTGATGAGAGTAGCTATATGAATGGGTCGATAGTGGTCAATGATGGGGGGTTTCATGATATTCGGTAGGAAATAACGTCATGGTTGATTAGACCCGAAGAAAGACAGACGATGATCCACATGCATCGCGTACTCAAATACTGAACACTGATGACACTTCTGCCAGTGCCATGATATACGTCTATTGCTATTTATTTATTTTTCTACGACACCACTAGTGCCACTCCTCCTGATCTACCTACCTACTGTGTTAGAAATCACACCCCCGGCTCGGAGAGATACCAAGTCAAATCGCCCCCGTCCTCCTCCCTCTGCGTCTTCCCGTTCCCAAAATACGCGAACCGATTCCCTCCCACGTACTTGATCTCCCAGTCCTCCCAGCGCGGCTGCTCCGTCGCCTCGAGGAAATGCACCGCGCTGCCGGGCCACGGACCCCACACTTTGCCGTCGACCTTGCCGAGCTTGTACCACGACCGGCAGCCGCTGGACCACGCGAGGTCGCGCATCACGGCGTCCTTGTGCTCGAGGAATTCTTGCACCGCCTCGGGTTTCGGGGACAGGGATTTGATGCCTTGGCGTTGGAGCTTCAGGACCGCGTCGTACGCGTAGTTGATGGTGCGCTCGAGGCAGGGGATCAGGGTTCCTTGGGCGAGGGGGAAGTTGGGTCCGCTCGAAACTATTGTGTTTCACAGTCAGGGAAAACGATCCTCGAAGACCGAAAGGACTTGCACGAAGAGAGAGAGTGCGTGGCCAACACACACACACACAAACACACACACACACACACAGAAGGGATGAGAGGGGAAAGGGAGGGAGAAGGGGGAGAGAGATATTCAGAACTCACGAAAGTAATTTGGGAACCCGCTCGCCGCGATCGACAGGTACGATCTCGGCTCCGTCGCCCACTCGTCACGCAAATCCGTCCCTTTGTCGCCAATGACGGGAAATGCTGGTCGGAAGGACGTATCAAACCCCGTGGCACATATGATGGCGTCGACCTCGTGCGTGGTACCGTCCAGCATCTCCAGACTTGTCGGTGTGATCTTGAGGATCGTCCCGCTTTCCACCGTGACGTTGTCGGATGCGAGAGATTCGAGATAGTCGTGGCCGGGGGTGACTCTATTGTCGATCAGGTCAGGTCAGGTCAGTCCATTTCAGTACCTATGTAGAATGGGGAAAGAAAAACCGTCCGCTCCCCTCCCCATCCCGCTGTGTCACTAGGTGAACATACCTTCGACAGCCGACAGCAAAATCCGGTATGAGCTTGTCGGCCAAGTACTCCTTGTTCCCCAGCTTCTGCCTCATATTCTTCTGGAACCTCTGGAAACTGTCCTTCTGGACCTGCGAGTCCTTGACCAAGACGTCGTAGATCTGGTTCATGCTGCCCTCGACGCGCTTGCGGTATTCCAGGAGTGCTCGCCGGTCCGTTGCCCACGCTTTCTTTTGTTCTTCGGAGAACTTGGTGTCGCGGCCGTCGGGGGCGAATTCGAGGCCAAACTCGGGAGTGATCCAGGTTGGGGAGCGGTTGAACGAGATGAGATGGCCGGCGACTGTGAGACAGCGTTAGCGGAATCAAGGGTCTTGCGCAACAGGACTCGCTCGCGCCCTCACCTTTTCGCACGATGGGGACTATCTGAATTGCTGAGGAGCCGTTGCCGATCACGGCGACTCGCTTTCCAGAGAAATCAAATGAATCGTCCCATCGAGCAGAATGTGCGAGGAATCCACGAAAGGTATCGAGGCCCTCGATCTCGGGCCATTTCCAATTACTACCATCAGATCTGTCAGAAAACCCTCTCGCTCTGGGCCATTTTTCTAGGGGAAGATGGGAACGCACTTGAGGAATCCTGTCGCACTGATGACCACCTCAGCCTCATCCGTAAACGTTCGCGACTTCTCCAGATCCTCGACCTCGACGTGCCACACGCCTTGATCCTCGTGCCACTGCGCCCTAACGACGCGGTGTCGGGTGTGGAGATGATCGTAGACGCCGTACGCTTTGGCGCGGCCCTTGTAGTACTCGAAGATTTCTTCAGAGGTGACATATGCCATGGACCAGTTGGGGTTGCCTTCCCAGGAAAAGTTGTATGCATGGGCTGGTACGTCACAGGCACATCTAAGATGAAAGTCAGAAATATCTAGGCTAGGGTGTGACCTGTTCGTTCTTGAACCACACGACACAACACAACAACTGATGCGCGACAGTTTGGTGAGCATACCCAGGATATCTATTCTCCAGCCACGTTCCCCCCACATCAGCATTCTTCTCGTAGATGGTCAGCTTCACCCCCGACTTTTCGAGCCGGTCCTTGAACAACTTGACAGCCGCGATCCCTGCGATGCCGGCGCCGATGACGATGACGCGTATCGGACGCGGATAGTTCAGCACATGGTGCGGATACTCGTATTCTTTGGCGTTGGAGGTGCTGTTGTGTCCGTTCACCCCGTTGACCGCCAGCGTGGGGAGGGGATCAGCCACGCTGTCGAGTGTGCTTGTTTGAGGAGTCGCCATCATTGGGTTTCCCGTTCTGGCTCAAAAGGTTCAAGGTCAAGTTACCCTTGTGCTTGCTTGTATCAATTTTGCGCTGTACGGTAGTCTTCTGGAGACAAATCTAAAGACGGAGGCAGGATTCGTGTCCCCTTTTGGTCCCTGGTCTCTTCGCCGATTATTGGCGACTCGACTAGAGTTCACATCCCATCCAGACAGAAACTGAAGCCGCGCATCGCTATCCGCTCAAAGTTTGGAAGTGTCAAATGGCCAACCGATACATCTGGGGCCGCACCATTCGATCGGAACTGTATCCATACCGAACCGTATCATACCACCCCCGGATCCAACGTCGACTGGAGCTAAGGAAAGAGGTGGATGTTTGCGAATATAATGGTTTCGGAACAGCGAGAACCCGTCCTGGTCTGGTGAAGGCGGGCGGGAACAGCGAAGCAAAGCGGAAATGGCAACGGGTCCCGAAAATGCCGTCGCGCGGTCGAGGGAGATGGACAGTCCGTGCCTTTGACACACCGCACTGGTTGCTCATCTGAATGGAGAAGCAAGTGGTTTCAGGGCCTCGTTTTGGAGGGTTCCACAAGATATTACAATGTGGACAAGGCTATGCAACAGAGCCCCTTTACTTTCTGGGCCGGCGGGATCAAGGGAGTCAACGGGAAAACTAATGAGAACCATATCGACATGCAGCTTTCGTGAATGTATAACAGACAGGATAATTACAGGAATGCTATACCCCTCTACGGCAGACCCTGCTGCCAGAACGTGGACGGGTCATTCTCCCCATACGCCTGCGACCCCGTGTCGAAGACCGACACCCTCCTCATGTCGCGGCGATACTTGCCCTCGTAAGCGCCGTGCGTG